GCTACTCACCGACAGTTGTTGTTGTTGTTGCTGCTGCTGCTGCTGCTGCCACAAATCAATCAAATGTTGTGCCTTGCTCTGAATTGCTGAAGGTAGTTTTTTTGTTTTTGTTTTTACTTAGCTTTGCTTTTATTTTGTTATTGATTTGTTGCACGTTCAAATATTGTGTATTAAGGTTGTTTTTTTTGTTTTGCCCCCGCACCACAATCTGTCGCCGACGATCGCTACAGAGTATACAGAAACGGGGTTTGTGTATGCGTTAATTAAATGACTGAGGCTTTTGTTGAAATGTCTTTTTGATTTATGCAAGAACAACAAGAGTTTCCGCTTAAATGTCCCAACTGTTTAGCGCCTTTCGTTACCGTGCCACAATGGGCCGCAATTTGTGTCTATTGCGAAATCTGGCAACTGGCCGCAAAACTAAGCCAAAAACGTAGTGTACAAATATTTATGCACATAAATTTCAAAACATTTTCCCCCTCCCCTCCATCACCTTGTGGCCCAGCCAAATTACACAAATTACACACTCATTTAATTTCATTTTCGCTTCTTGGCTGCATTTTTTTTGTTTTGTTTATGCCACGAGATTCTCATGAATGAACAGCTGTGTGTTTAGGTGTGTTTGTGGGTAATTATGCGTGGGTGTAGCTAACACTTTGAACTGATTATAAAAATCAGCAAGTAATGTTGTTTATCGATTACATGGGTCACTTCAACACTGCAGCTGCGGCTTTCGCTGGAAACGCTACAAATTCTTAGTGAACTTTAAAGGAACCAACAACAAAGAAAAGGTTAACATTTAGAAGTCGAGTCGGTTGCCATGCTCCTCGTGTGCAGTCATCAATTTACAGTCAGTTCGCTCGAACAATGTGTGGCGACAAAAGGAAAAGCATTTCAAGCTTTTGCTGACCGGAGGACAGCTTAAGCAACGGGGAGTGCCCGTAACCCGGAACCCTCACGGACTGACGACCAGTGTCCTGGCTGGCCCGCAGGAGCTGTGACTTTAGGACGTATATAAAGTTTGGCAGCAGCTTTAAAATGTGGCAGCTGGCACTTACAAAACCTGATCTGCAGGCGTACAGCAGGGAAGGAAAGTGTATAAAAGAAGCTGAAAAGCTTTCGCTTCAAAGTCGAGATCTCTATCTTGTCATTAAACGTTAGGTATGACTAGCATTATATTATCATCAAAATTAATTGAAAATATATGTATGTATTCATATATGCGAGCAGTAATATATTTAAGTAACTTTACGCATCTGTGTATTTGCACACATTTGAATTTCGGGCGCGCGCCCCATGTGGCGTATGCGTAATATTTCTAATGCAATGCACAGCTTGGCTCTCAGATGCACATTTATATGAAATGAGCTTAAAACGTTTGCCATGCAACCGAGCCACGCACCAACACATCAACACATCAGCACACACGCACACGCACATACACATTTGGCAGAGTAAGCCTCACATAAAAGCAGTCGCGGAAACGCGGCGTATGTGCAATTTTTTTAAATAATTATTGCGACGCATGCTTCAATTTTTTTAGTTGTTCCCCTTGGTGCTCAGGGGTAAGAGGTTGGGGAGGGTGCTATGCTAGTGTGCTGGGGTGTTGCTTTCGCTCTTCCTCTTATTGCTGTAGTTTTTGTTGTCATTGTTGTTTTTTTTTTTCGTTATGATTTTAAATTAAAATTTAATGAATGCCGCTTTAATAGTTAACCAGCACCCGAACTAAAACAATGCCAAATTGTTGTTTCTGGTTATTTATAGTAAATTGTTTTTAAGGGCACGGCAATTAATTAAATATGCGCAACTATTTGTTCTGTTGGGAACTGTTTTTATGGTCTAGTTAAATTTGTTGGCCCTCTTTTTTATTGCCCTGCACCCGTTGAGAGTTTGTAAATAAAAGAAGGCTCAAATAGTTTTGTGTCCAATGTGCATTACAGGCAGACGAAAGCATTTGGTAAGCTTGACTTTCTGTCTGTAAAGAAAGCTTCTATTTCGAAGATACTTTTAGGGAAGGAGACTTGATATGGGAAATACATTTTACTGTTCTCGTTTTATTATATCATATGCAAAACGAGTTGTTTTTCGATATCTGACCCCATTTTCTGAATAGGATTAGCTGATTTTTTTAAACTCTGTGTTTTTAGCATATATCTGTAGGTAAATAGCGCTTCTGACACCATATTAAGTAGCTTCTCACATAACAACAGTTTTTAATTTTACTTTTAAATAAAAATGAGCAAAATAATCATTTTTAAAGCTAGGATCTTGTACTCTGCCATGCTATGACTGCTATATTTATGCCCTAAGCATTTCGTTAAAATAAGTTTACAAAAAAAAAGAAAAAAGCTAGAGCCTTGCGCATTGGTATATACACACATTACACTGCTAAATTTATACCCTGAACATTTAATAAAGATCGGAGAAAAAACACCAAAGTTAATAAAGCCTGCATTTCGCATAGTCTGGGGACTGCATTTCCCAAGGGAAGAAGAAGCGCAGCAGCTGCGTAAAATGCGCAGCTTCAGCGTGTGTGTGTGTGTGTGTGTGTGTGTGTTTGTGTGCGTGTACATGTGTGTGAGTATGTGAATAAGTGCTTAGAATAAATTCTAATATCTGTTACAGCAGCTAAGCATATGGTAAAGTCGGGCACTCCCTACTAGCGTACTCTTGGGTTGGTTTTTTATTTTTTATATTTTTAAACTTGACGTACGCAATGTGAATGTCTCTTTCAAGCCAACACATCCGCCCACACACACGTAAACAGAGCCAATTGCGTGTGTGGCCATTTGACCAAGAGCTAAAACCATTTTTCTGTCCAGGTTATTTCAAGCAGCTGAACCACAACTCGGCAGTAAACACTTCTATGTTAGGTAAACAGAAGAAAAAATATCTGTTGAAAGCAGAAAAAACTCCTGTATTCTAGCATTGAATTGTTGCATAGTTTTCGGCAAATATTGCCTGAGTTGAGACATTGCAAAAAGTTTGCCAAAATGTTTGAATACATCGTTCCATGAGCCTGATCAAGTGCAATTTTCCACAGCTCACTGGGAAAATTACAATATATAGTTATATAGCTTGCAAATAACTATGTGAATGTGCAGAGTTGACTGTTGGAAAAAATACTTGTTATTTAACAAATTGAGCGCAATTTACGAGTGAAAGGCTCTTAAATGAATCGAATAAAGGGTAGTACAAATAAAATGCACAACTGGGATTCGGGCTTGTATTCCGAGATATGCAGACAGAAATAAATGTTATAATAAAATAAGTAAATAAAATAAACATAAAAATAATAATAAGATATTATTATTAATATAATAATATGATATGATAACAATAGCAATAATAATAATGATAAAAAAGGTATGTTACTTATGATAATGATAATGATAATGATAATGATAATGATAATGATAATGATAATGATAATGATAATGATAATGATAATGATAATGATAATGATAATGATAATAATAATGATAATGATAATGATAATGATAATGATAATGATAATGATAATGATAATGATAATGATAATGATAATGATAATGATAATGATAATGATAATGATAATGATAATGATAATGATAATGATAATGATAATGATAATGATAATGATAATGATAATGATAATGATAATGATAATGATAATGATAATGATAATGATAATGATAATGATAATGATAATGATAATGATAATGATAATGATAATGATAATGATAATGATAATGATAATGATAATGATAATGATAATGATAATGATAATGATAATGATAATGATATTGATAATGATAATGATAATAATAATAATAGAAATGATAATCAAAATGGTATATACACAATGATGATAACAATCAGAATAGCTATAATGATATAACAACTGAATAATTATAATTACAATAACAGCTGAGTAATTATAATAATGATTATAATAACAATAACATTATTATATTAATTATTATTATTATTATTATTATTATTATGACTATTATTATCATTATTATTGAATTGAAAATGTAGACTTAAATAATATGTTGGATTTAAGTAAAATATATCTTAGTATTGCATAAATGTTCACATCAAAGAATAAGGCATTTGTCAGTTCACATATCAAAGATCATATATCTGGAAGATATAAACTCTTAGGCCCTTTGCCATGCACGCGATCAGGCTCAGAAGGAACACACACTAACAACATTTTGCTTATATTCGTCTTTAAATAATCTATATAAATACACATGCATATTTATATCAATTACTTTATTTATGTTTGACACTTTGTGCAATTTGCAATTTACAAAAAAAATCTCTTATTTTAATGTTTAATCGCCTTTTCGTGGCTGACCACGAGAAAGAAATGCGAAGCCTAATTGAATATTGATTGGGCTTTATGCGATTAAACGAAATTAACATATATGTATATATTAACATATATCTACATTTATGTGTGTATATTTATAGAAATGTATAAACCTTGCGCAAACAGACATATGTGGGACAATTAAAATATTTAAATTGAATTATGGATTCTTGTTGTTGTTGTTTTATTATTAATAAGCCTTAAAGGTGGATTTCACGCAAAATGTAGTCTATTCAAAATGCATTTTAAGCATTTGTGTTTTATAAAATTTAAAAACTGTTAATATTTATTCATTCATTTTTAACACTTGCCAGAATTTGCAATTTCTCTTCGAGTATTTTCAAAAATTTTCCAAAAATGTTTCCACTTCTGTTAATATTTGTACTTTGAAGTTTTGCACCAAAAATACAAAAAAAAAAAAGAAACTAGAGAAAATAATTTATTCACACACAAATTTGAGACACTAACCAAGTGAACAACAGTTTTTGATTTGTTTTGTTTGGTTTTGTCGCCGATTGTCGTTGTTGCAGGCAAAGGCAAGGGAAATTGCGCTTCGGCTGCTACTGCTGCTTCGGCGCCCGCGCCCACACACAGACAAGAACAAACACGTCGTGCCGTCGGCAATGCTGAACGAGAACTAGAAACTGAAATCACTTTGCGCCAGAGACACAGCCGCAACGCAAGCAGGCAGCAGAGCCAGCGACTCTGTCGACGGACGCAGAGCGTTTGGCTCCACAAATTTTGCCAGCGTGCGTGCGTAAACGGCGACGTCAATGTTGACGGCGGCGTCCACATCGTTGCGAATTCTCCGGCAATCCCAACGACGCGACGATTCGCACGACTCCAAAATCGCATGCGAGAAAACACTTGTATGATGTTGGACTGCTTGTGTTAATCGCACTAGGGAAATTTACAAGCACAACTTAAAGGCGAGAGCGCGAGCGAGCAAGAGAGAGATGGCCAGACAGAGAGCGAGTGCACAGATAGTAAAAAATTTCCCTGTTCTTGTCGCAGCGGCGAACACGAGTGCCATAAACGAACGGCACGAATCGGCTTGAACGCACCGACGAGCCGTAAACAGCTGCATGCTGTGGTTCTCTGCTGCCGTACATGTATATGTGTGTGCGCGACCGTGTGTGTGTGTGTTGTGAGTGAGAGTGTGTGAGTGAGGCAGCCTCGCAGGCCAAGCCAAAATGTTGGCCTACCTGTTGCTTAGCAACTCGGCAGCGCGCCCAGACGCGCGCTTCATTATCATTGTCAGCATGCCAAATGATGGGGCAGCTGCTCAGGAGGGAAGGTCGGGTATTGGGCGCGAAGTCGCTACTATGTGCAGATGTTGCACGTTTGTCTGTAAACGAAGCCTGTAACAGCTGTTCGAATCGAAAATAACCGTTAACGGATACTATTAGCATGCCCAAAACTGAAGAAAGGAAATTTTTGAGTCGCATGCGAGATTTTGGCCGACCCGTCGAAGAGGGTAAATTAAATGGCGTAAAGTACGTGTTAAAAAGAAATAGACACAAAACACACACAAAGGCACAGGCAAGCACACACACACACATACACGCACAAAAAGGAGCAAGGCAAAAAGCAAAGCCTGAGATGGTAAAAAGCACAGCAAATGTTAGCTCCATGTGCGCGCGTGTGTGTCTGCGTGTGTGTATACGTTAGTGTGTGTATTCGAAAATTGAACATATTGCGCTGGGATTATAAATCGATTGTAAGACTGAGACACTTGACACACGTAAACCACAAAAGGCGATAAAAGGCATTCAGAATTCGACTACTCGAGCCGCACTGACAGCATCTGAAGCCCATTGGAGCCGCAGGTTGTTCTGAAATCGAAGCGATTATCGGGGGTGGGACACCAGCCTATCGCATTCCAAATGATAATCATTTTATTGGCTATGAAACTCAGCTCAATGTTCAGTTAATGCCAAATAATGCTAGAAATATATCAAATGCCAATTCTACTCAAATTACGTAGCACAAGCTGCTCCGAACTCAAGTTGAATATTACATGAATATAATTTCCAGCAACAAGTTGATTTTTTTTTTTTTGCAGAATGTACCCACTAAAAATTTGAAAAACTGGCATATTAGACAATATATATACAATATATTTATAATGTATTTTAGGAACTATAGAAACCTTTTTTACGACTTAATCCAGCGATAGATTTTACCTAATAAAATTTCGCAAAGTCCTCAAAAAAACAAGTATTGAAACTAAATGTGTGCTTCAAATAGAAACACAAAAGTTTCGTACACTCATATCCAAAATAATTGTACTCCCCTATGAAAGAAATTTGTTGAAAGATATGAAAGAAAATACCTTTAAGTGCCTTTTACGAAACGAGCTCCAAAGTATGCAATATTCTAATTAACCACAACCCAAAAGGGGAATTTAACAAATACCACACACAATACTTTCACAAATGTATATATATATGCATGTATATGTATGTATGTACGCCTGTATATGCAGAAATTATCTGAGAACAGGTTATGTCAATACTAAAAATGAGCAGAAATTATCAAACATGATTAGCGCAAGACATTAACAGGCAGACAAAAGGTCTTTGCACGACTAGCAAATACCCCGTACGATGTAATGAAATAAATAAAAAACGTATAAAATTTAAATATTTATCCATGATATAAAATATCCAAAGCAAATAAACCGGAATTTAAAAATGTATGTATATGTATAAAAAGAATATAGGTCCGCGGCGGACTAGAGTATTTGGAATAAAAATGGAGAACTGTACACAAGATTGGTAACAAACAAAGAGGTATTCTCAACTAACTGTTAACCGTTTCAGCATTTTATTACTTCAGTTGTCTAATTAATGACCGCCAAATATGCTTCGTGCCGTGCATTGATTATGGGCTATATCAAGGGTATTTTGTTTGTAATACTCATTGCGGCTGCCCAGGCCTGGGCTGGCTTGTTGTTGTTGCTGTTTGCGGTTCCTCTTGTTTGCATTCGGCAGCAGCAGCCGTAGTAGCCGCAGCAGCAGCGCACGTAACGGCAAATGCCATTCAACACTCAACACTCCACATGCCAAATACAAACACGCGCGCAAAAGAAGCAACACAGATGGAAGCGTAGGTAGCGAGGGGGAGCGAGCGAGGGTAGCTGCGCCAGCAGAACCACAGTTAGAAACGGCGCCGGGTCTTCAAGCAAGGCAGCGGGCAGCAGTCGGTGGCAACGTGGTCGGGTCGGTCTATGGTGGGCGGGGAGGGGGGCATATTGGCAGCAATGTCGAAGTCGAAGTCGCCGTCGAAGTAGAAAAGTGTAAACAAGAAACGTGATATTTGACAGATGACTGTAGATATTTAGATACCAACATAAATACTACTTATGCCCAATGTCGCTCTCTCTCTTGCTCTTCCTATCCCCCGACTCCCCCCCTCCACTGCATAGCTAGCTGAGTCAAGCACACACACGCACACACGCACACTCGCACACCCGTACAGTCGCACTTCCCCCTGCACAGCTGCCACTGTCTCTGGGGTCTTATTGATTTTCTGCTGGCTTTCACAGCCACTTGCCGCTTGGTTTGAAGTGCCAGCCACGCATAAAGGACGCAGCCAAAAAGAGAAACAGAGTGAGCGAGAGAGAGCGAGAGAGAGAGAGAGAGTGGAAAAAAATGATGAAGTTAAAAAGAGACAAATAAGACAAAAAATAAAACAAGCACCAAAAAAAAAGAAGCGAAATGAGCACAAAAGAATCGAAAGATGCAAATATTGTAATGGATTCATGTTGTTCGTTGTATGTTGCCCACGCCCCTCTCGGCGACTCTTCCTTAATTTAACCATCAGTGAGTGTGTATATGGCGTATGCTTAACATTGACACAAGGCGACTCAAAACAATTTATTGCTCAGTAATAGTAATTAAATTTCATTTAAGTTTATTTTCACCGAAAACCCAAAAAAAAAAACTCTAGTCAATGTTGTTCATGTTATTTTGAAAAAGGTTTTTTATAGCAACAACCAACTGCTTTTTATAAGGTATTATAAAGGAGTCCTCTTTGGTTCTATAACTAGGCTTAGAACTTCTTATAACAGTCAATGGTTTGCTTGGAGCATTTAACCCAAATAGACAGAAATTAGTACAACCCAATAGGATTATTGGAAGTATTCAATTTTATAAAATGACTTAAAGTTCTTGTTACTTTAAGGTATTAACATTCTTCTAAAGATGACAAACATGTGGAAGAAACCTTATCAAATATAAAATTAAGGATTAACTGAGAGCAAAACTTAAAAATCTAGATAATTAAACGAGTTTTTATAGGGTTATCCTGGAATAGGTTTAGGCCTTTGCACCAACGTTAATGACCCGGCGTATACGTAATATTTGGTATGTTCAACATGTCGTATACTTTGCATGTGATGCGTTAAAGAATTAAAGGCTAGTTCAGGATAAAATCTAAAAATCTAGATAAAACCGAGCACTTAATCTAGATAACCAAACGGCAATACTAAATATTACGTATACGCAGGGTAATACACTGTGGTATAAATATAAATATTGTTGTAACTATATATTTATATATTTATATACTTCATATATGCCACTCGAGAGTAGGGTAATGTTGGAATAAGTCTATATTTATAGCAAAGTTGATGACCCTGTGTATACATAATATTTGGTGGGGTCAACGTGGCGTATACATTGTATATGATGCGTCAAAGAATTTGTTAGATGTACTCACAATCATAATAGTCATATCGATCCGCCTCGCTGGGATTATTGCTGCCCATGATTTTGCCAAAAACTGCAAACAGAATGAAGAAATGGTTGTTGAGTCTGTCAAGTGTAGGGGGTGGAGTACAATTAAATATACAAACAAAAAAGAAAATGGCGCAATTCAATTAAAATCGCTGTGCCGCAAACAAAGCAAAATGGACGCTCATGAAAATGCAGTTGGGTCAACCAATTACACGCCACGGCTAAGGGTGTCATCGGGATTGGAAAGGGGATCGGGATCGGGATCGGGATTATAAACTGTGATTTGAATATATGCGAATGCAATGCTCTGTGGCAGCGGGTCTGATGGGGGGATCAGCTAACTCACATTTGACAAAACTCCGGCTAAAGCGAACAAAACACGAAGCGGAGCGGGAGAGCTGCGTTAGGTCCTCGGGATGGGCGCCGTTCTGTATGCAATGGATGGGCGCCAGTGGCGTGATGCGGCAGCGACTGTGGCTGCGACTGCGACGCCGACGCTCAAGCAATGGTATTGCCACAAAGCTGTGCTCCACCTGGGCGCCTTCGGTTGCTCCACCAGCTTCCACAGGCGGCAGCGTTGAGTCACCGGGTATGATGCTGCCGTTGTCGTTGTTGTTATGATTGTTGCTGCTGTTATTATTATTGTTATTGCTGTTGCTGCTGCTGTTGTTGTTGTTGCTGCTGTTGTAACTGATGATGGTAATGACATTGACGGTACCCTGCAATGGGCTTGAGTTCGTCGCTGCCGTTGCTGCAAAAAAAGAAAATAGAAGAAAAGTTGAAAATTCTCATCAATTGCTTTGCTGATTTGTGATTTTAACAAAAGAAAAAAAATATAAAAAAAATGTAGAAAACTGCAAAATCGGAAAATGGGAAAATCCCATTTCGCACGCGACGCATATGTGACAAATTTTTGCTGTCCCGTGCAATTCTGATTTTTTCTTTTTTTTTTTTAGTTCCCCCTCACTTGCGAATGTCGTAAATCATTCGAATTTGCATTCAATGTATTCGTTTCACTTTTTTTCGGGCGGGGAGCTCTCAAAAATATGCAAGGCAATGTGCCAAATGGCGCAGAATGCGGAAAAAAAAATAAAACATAACACGCTTGCCCGCTGCAAAACTCTAGTCGAGGACTCAGCAGCTCAACAGCAATAAAAAAATAACATATGAGCGACAATTTAACTCTTTTTGAACAAGGATTCTTATAGTTCACTTATGACATATGAGAGTACTTTGTTGCTATTTCGTTCGAAGAACTTCGAGACCATTTTGAGATATCCATAGAATAACTCTTTGGAGGCATGCTTCAGTGGACTATAAAGCTTTGGACTTACAATCATTTTTAAATAGTTTGAATAAACAGCAAAGAAGAAACACTTTAAAAAACAACAACATAAGCGAAGCTTACTTGAGCATCATGAGAATCGCATAGAAATGCGATGTTGAGGAGAGTGCAAAAGCGAACATGCATGAAAGCTAGCAAAAAGTGACCTAAAGCAAGCCAAGTCAAACGAAAAGAAATTGAAAAGGAACATATTTTGATAAAAAAACATAGAAAACCCCTTTAATTATATAATAACGAAGCGAGGCTTACTTGAATTCATGAGAATAGCATAGAAAGGCGATATTAAGGAGCAGGCAAGAGAGAACGAAATAGTTGAGAAAAGAAACTTGAAGGTATACGATATATTGAAGGCAAATTTCGTGATAGGAATAGAATCCTCTAGCCCCTCCATGAATGAATATCCATAATGTAAAACGTGCCCCCTTATGTAGTATATATATAGTATATACTATATACTATATAGTACTTGCTGCAGATAGGTAGATATTTTAAGTTCTGAAATGAGCAGCTTTTTGGTGCCCTCTGTGACTTGGTTGGCTGTGTACAATACTCAAAGTTGCCACCTGAGGCACCAGCGACCGGATTGTACAGAATCTGAGCTCATTTATTTGCACTTACTTAGCTGCCAGGTTGCAAGTTGTTGGACATTTGATTTATATGCCAGCAGCTGTCGACACATTTTATTTGGCTTGTGCAACAGCATTTAGTGCAATAATTTAAAAATATGTCGACCTTTTTGGCTGAGCATTTGCTTTATGCTCACTCGTTGTTTGGGGCCTCCCTGCAAGGGAGGGTATATTGCTTGACAAACTCTTATCCTAGCCGCAGCTGGCTAATTTCTGGCTTGTTGCCAGCTGCAACATGCTGTTTGGGTCGACGTATCCGTTGCGGTTCTTTCTTCTTGTATTTTTTTTTTCTCATGTTTATTTGTTGCATATTTTATCGTGCCACAAATCGCACATGACAATTGCAATTGAATAGGCGGCGAGGCGGGCCCAACAAATAGTTGTTTGAAATAACTTATTGTTATTATATTTTTATTTTTCATCTATTGCTAGTTTTGTGGCACGTGTGATTCATCATTTGCTTGTTTCATTTTTTTTTGTGGCCAATGCAGCGACAAACTGTATTATTTTGGTTAGGGCTTTGTTGTTGTTTTTTTATTATTTATATTTTTTATTTGTTATTTGTTTTTGTTTGGTTTTGTTTGCTTGCCATTTATTTGCGCAGTGGCGGGCAACAACAAAAACAACAAAAAACAATTGATTATAAAATAAAACATTGCTAAATTTTACGCACAGTTTCCGGACTCCGCACAATACAACCAATTGTGCGCCCATCCATCACTTGATGTATTAGCACAACTACACACACATGTGTTTGTGTGTGTTGCGTGTGCGAGTGTTGTGCATATGTTTGCGGGCGCGTTGGTGTGTCAATGTCAGCGTCAAAGTGCCAAACAAACTGCCAACTGCTGAAATATAAATCGCACAACAATCTTGTCTGCGTATACGCAATATTTGTTGGCTTACAATGTCCTTGCAGCCAGGACAAGCACACACACACACACACTCTCAAACGAACAGCTATTTGCAACAGCACGAACTTAAGATCGCCTAGAAAACAGCATTCAGCAGTAGTTTAAAAACCACAGAAAAAATGTTTAATGAAATTATTTGCAAACGTTTTGCCTCACAAACGAAGAAGAGATACTTTTCTAAATGTCATTAAATTCTATATATATTTGAGAATCTGCGAGAAGTTAGGGCAAAATGTACAAAGCTTTAGATTTTTAAATATATTTGAGAATTTGAGAGAAGAGTGAAAAATGCATTCCTTTTAACAATTTGGAATTTTCAAATGTACTTTAGAATTTCACATTTTCAAACATATTTCAGAATTTTAGAGAAGAGAAAGCAAAATGTGCACTAAGCTTTTTAACTTTTATAAATATTCAAATATATTTAAAAATTCAAAAGATTAGAATGAGAATTTACAACGCTTTTCAAATATATTTGAGAATCATTCAAAGCAAATTCTAAAAGTTGTCAAAGTGAATTAGAGCGATTCGCAATTCATTCAAACAAAGCATGATTTCTGCTCGCAACTTAAAAATAAATAGTAAACGCACAACTACATTTATTTCATCTCCATATATGCTCCATATAATTATGTAAATCTAAGCGCATATCCGCACACACTCAATATGCCTTTGAGGACATTTAGGTACTGGGTATAAATAAATTAAATTACGCACACAAATTTTGCCTTGCATCCATCTGGGTGCATTTTCCTCTTAATTCAATTTGCCGAAAAACGCAGCTGAGCATCGAGAATTCTAAATGACACACATTTTCCTTACATTGCAACAAAACTGAGCTAAGCTTTGTTAAGTTTGCAGCTTTAATAATATATATAAAGTATATATACTGTAAACAAAAGGCTGCCTGTTTTTCGCTGCATTTTCAAATTGCATTTCTAATGAATCCATGGAACTGCACTTTGACTCACAATTGCATAAATTATTTATTTGATAATCTCTCTCCCGGTCTTGTCGTCCGCCGTCGTTTATTTGGCATCAACATGCTAGAATTTGATTTAAACAAATGAGTGCCATAATTATTCTTTAACTGCCACTTGACGATGTCTTTCTGGAGGCGTTAAGTGCCGGGGCTGTAAATTTACGCCCCATTAAAGCTAGACACAAAATATGTGAGAGAATGTCTCACCTATATGAATATATACAAATAAATAAATATATATAACTGGATTGAATATAAATAATGTTGAAAATATATGCGAATTTTCAAATTGCCTTCTTGGAATTTGTGCTTACATTCTCCTCAGTTAGTTGAATGTCTTATTAGTGGCTACGCTTTAAAATGTTGGCTACGTTTTATAATACAATAAACATGACAATTCTTTTAAGTCCTTAAAATGTTCTCTATATTATCCCATTTAACTCAGTCTTAAATTAAACAAAGGCTTATACTCTTGTCGAGGGTAGAGTACCGCATAGAAGTAGAAATCGGCGACCCTATAAAGCATTTATATTCTAGATCAGCAACAACAGCCGAGTTGATAAAGTCATATCCTTCTGAACTTTTGTCCGCCTTTCCTTCTTTACGTCTCTCTGTCTGTCTTTTTCTTTGCGAAATAGTCGCTCGGTAATAAAGCTCTCCTCCTTCATAGGTCCGTCTTTCTGTTTCGGGCAGTACATATGTATGTCCGAACCGGCCGAATTGTATAGTAACCTTTTTAGTTATCATTAAATCGAAAGCAATCTCGGCATTTATAAGTTCCACTATGCTCTTCATATTTGTGCAAAATTGTATCAATAACAGACTAGCTAATTATATATAACAATAACGTTCGAAAAGAAGGTCCTTATATGGCGAAATAAACTGTTTTCCAATATATTTTCATGAAACCCAGCAATTACGCGAGCTATTACCACATGTCTGCAAATGACAAATGTCTACCAGGGTTTTGAATCGTTGGCCTGTTGAAGATATCCTTACTTTAGCGTTTTTATAATAAGGGTATAATATTGTTGTTTACTATTTTTATTCTAAGGCATTTTACCAGTGTTGCAAAATCAAATAAAATATAGTATGTCGTTGGTTCAGACTTTGAACTAGGTCACTGGTTTTAAATTCGGTTCGTGAATCTCCCCCAAAAGTTTTTTTTATTTTGAACCAAACTATTTCTTAAAACGTATACATTTTTATTTTGGGGTTTCTGGTTTGCTTTAGGGGTTAGTTTATAGTAGAAATAAATAAGCGGTTCGGTTCGCAATTGGAATGCAAACTGGTTTTCTACTGTACAACATGAGCTCGGACTGGGCAGCATTTGGCAATGCTTTAATTGTCTATTATTATATTGTCTGTTGAATTGAAGTCAATAAAAACGAATGGCCTCTGGTAGAACATCAATTGGTGTCAATTAGCAGATGTGTTATGGACAGAAACATACACATAGTTGTTGCCCGTTTGGGATGGGTCTGTTCAGGATCTGGTTCTGTATAGTATACACTTTTACTGCATGTCTGCATATAGTAATAATAATAATTTTATTTTTTTATTGCTTCACACGAAATTTGTACGACGCACAAAACCGAAAATTGTTCCATTGTTGTTGTTGTTGTTGTTGTTGTTGCTGCTGCTCATTGTATTTATGAACGTTTGCATTTAGCTTGAAAAACAAGTCATTTTATATCCAAACAACAATTTTACAAAACTCATAAAATTCGAATGCAAAAAGCCAGAGGCAAAAATATTTATATTAATGATATGCACAAATACCACGTCTATAAGTCGGGCACAATTGCTCTGCCTCCGCTAACAGAGTATCTCCATTCGTTTGTAATATGTTATGTTGGCCAAAAAGCTGCCAATTATTCGCGTTTTATTTTTTTTTCTTCTTTCTTTCATTTTGTGGAGAGCTGGCAAATGTATTTATGACGAGATGAAATCTAAACAAAAAAAAAAAATTTGTTGTATGCAAGAGAAAACATGTTCCAGACATTGTTTAGATCTTGCGTTTGGTTTGCGTTTTCAGCTTTCAGTTTTTCAGATTTTCAGTTTTCAGCTTGTCGATTTTCGGTTTTTCGTCTTTCAACCTTCTGTTTTCGACAGTCGGGTTTCAAACTGTTTCTCAGTGACCATTTAATGGCTGTCTAAGGCAACACGGCCAAACCGAAACCAAATCAAAATGTCAAAACGTTCACTTGTTGAAATGCATTCAAGTTTATGTTTAGTTAAATGGATTGAGGTACAGCGCTCAATATATTTAATATACTTAGTTATTTTATTTTATTTTGAAAGCATTTACGATGAATTCTTTATTGATTGACAGTTTTCATATGCTCCCATTTTATTTAATAATATTAAATAAAGTAATAATTTTATAGTTAATATTTATCTTTATCTTTGGTTTTCCTAACTAATTTATAACCTTTTAATATGCTCAACATAATTACTCATTAAAAATAATTATCAAAACAAAAATTTAATAAAAAACTTTTTAAAACATATAAAAGAAAAAGATTCTTTTTTTTTATAAAAATGACACGCCGAAGATTTAATACCCTTGATATGTCTCTTATGCAGATATTTGTGAAAATAGTAAAGCATGAAAATGCTGAGGTTGTTGAAAATATCTTAGAAAACAGAATATTTTGCTTTATATTCTACCGATTTTTCCTGTTGCAGCTATATGATATAGTGGTACAATGTTCATAAGATTTATCGAATATAAGGGAAGTAAAGTTATTTGACTAAGATATCTCAATAAAGAAAAAAGTTTTCCATTTTTAAACCGACCGTTTCTATATCAGCTATATGATAGAGTGGTCCGATCCTGCCGGTTTCGAGCGTTTATTATAATACCCTCTACAAGGGTATAACAAAGAAGAAATATATATTTTTGGAATTAAATATTATTGTTTAAAATTCAAAAAAATTTATTTGAAAAACGTAAAAAAAAAGAATAAAATGTTTTTTCTAGTATTGAATACAATTTTTGGAAGTTTCTACAAATATATTGAAACTAGAAAATATTTTATATTTTTAATAAATTTTCCCGCATCTGCAAAGTGGGAAAGCAATGAAAAATTGTTTTACTTTCTTGAATGTAGAATGCATATTATATCGATCAATAAAAGATCGACACGGCAATGGCCTGAGATATTGATATTTTATGCCTGGGGTTCGGGGCTTTCGGATTTTCTGACAGCTAATTGAACACGATTCGAGCGAATTTCGTGCCGAATTCGAAGTAAACAGTGCGAATCTGTATTCCAAATATCAAAATAATCGTAATGCAATATACATTTCCGTTTGGCAGTTCAAGTTCATTTCGGTTGTGATTGTGTTCCGTTCGGTGTTCTCTGTTCTGGCTGCGATTCGTATTGTGATTGGCCATTCCGGGACTTCCAAATTGATGCGAGAGACATTAAAAAGTAACATCAAAAGGCAATTGCCACCTTTCTTGGGGGCCGTTCATAATTTGTGTATATATATATATATATATAAATATATGTGTATGTGTATAGGTATACTTTTAAAGCGCTTCAGCAGCGAGGCACATATGTTGGCCCAGTTGGCCGAGTTGGCCAAGTTAACGCAGTTGTTCTTTGGCTATGGAAAATTTGCCGCCTCGCTTCTTGTTTATTTGGCAAATTCTATTGCACTCGTATTTATTATTTTTTATGCCACCATTTGATATACATAATATGCTCGCATTTTATAAATTTAATTACATTCGCAATGGTCGGGCTGCGATTGAAAATGGGCATGGATTTGCAGCTGTGGCCATGTGCTATGCGCGTCTTTTGGGCAACTTTTAATGATGCCACCCCCCTGCTTCGTTTCCCTTTCCAACTCCTATGCCACAATGAAAATACCCGCACGTGTTGCACGCACAGTAATTTCAGTTGGATCTTAACAACACTAGTTTGATTGTGTGTGTGTGTGTGTGTGTGTGTGGGTGGAAATTGTATCTGGGGAATCTATTTTAATGCGAATCGTACGGCTATTTCTGAAGCCATTTAAACGCAATGGGTGGCACATTAAGTGCGTGTTGTGGCAAGTGTACAAATCGTATATACTAAAGCAATCCCAATGCCCAGGCCTAGCATTCCTATGTACACCCAATAGACATTGCCAAAGAAAAAACTGCTATGAGAAAACATACGATTTGTCGTACTATTCATTTTTAATCTATATAACTTTGTTATTGAGAATGTAAAGGCCAAATAAAATCATGCCAATTCTGCATCGAGTATCTGGTACAAAACTGTGTGTCTATATCATAACCGAACTATCTCAACTTACAACATAAACAGAACAGATTGATATGATTCTTATTGAAATCTGTGCTGAAAAGTAAATAAGAATTGTGGCAATTGTGGTGCGATTTATGGTGCGATTTATGGTTACAACCAACTGACTATCCATAGGTTCGCTTCGTGAACATGACTATCCACATTCCCCAGCCTAGATTTTGGTACTATCCCTGCTCAAGTTTTAAAACTTCAAATGAAACCAAACCATTTTTGAAGTAAAGTGCGCTTTAATTGGGATTTCAGCTCGATTCTGAAACGTTTGAACCTTTTTTTTATAAATTTTTTACTGTGAAGCGAATTCTTGCAGGGTCTGAACACAGTCTGAACTAAACTTTATTGATACAATATAAACTATTGAACCAGCATATTATGTAATTTATATATACTTCAAGCAAGAATACGCAATCGAAACGTCACGAAAAGACCATTTCTGATTATGTCTTCAATGATATCAATATTCACAATTTCTAAGAATTGTGCAGCTTGCCACAAAACTTCTCTGACAAATTTAAGGGATTTAAAACATTTAAAACTTGATCTTCCATTAAAAGAAAACTCTTAAAGTTTCTGGTGAAATATACAAAATGATGTATTTAAATTTAGGTACTGACCATTGGGAGTTCGCAAGGCCCAATAACTGTTAATGAAATTGAGATGTTGTCTATTAATTTACGTAGCCATTTAATTATTTCTCCTCTGCGGCTCATAATAAATTTTGTAGTTTATCGTGTAGTGTGTAAGATTTTATTTATAAAACATATCATTTTCTATACTGTGTATTGCAGCTTGTGAAATCCGCGTACGAAAATATATTTTAGTGCGTACGCTCATTTGAGCTGCAAAGCGTTTGAGTAATATTTCTGCATTCAAATATTCAAAATTTTGTTTACGCCTTTGTTTATAAACAATGAGAATGTGTAATCTGAAGGGCGAGCCCCAATTTCATCCGCTCTAATGTAGGTCTTCCAATCGCCATTTGAATGGAACACAATTGCAAATAGGAAGTGAGGAAATGAAAGCCAAAAAAAATAAATAAATAAAACTCGTTCACATTACAAAAATCTGTTTAGAGCAAATACTTAAGGCCCAGTAATACATTTGTAATCTAGGGCTAATGAAATTTGCCAAAAGTCGATTTAATATATCTTATTATCTGTTCAGGTTCAATCGGCTGCTACGCACTGCACAATACTCTGTACAGTGTTTAAAGGAGTCTGCTTGACTGAACTTCAAACACTGAAGTTCGATTGAACAGGTTGAGCCAGCTGCTACGCACTGCACAATACTCTGTACAGAGCAAAAATATTATTTGAATGAGTCTGCTTGTATATTGGATTAATGTCGATAGGAATGAGCCCCCCCTTTACGCTGACCCAGGCTATGTACTTCAAACTGTGACCTTAGATTGAACAGCTCGGTCGGCTGCTACCCATTGCCTAGTTTCTGGCCTCAGCATGATGGACATGCCACTGGACCAATATACTTTGTTGTGCTTGTGAACAGAGTATTATAAGAGCAACCATAGGGAACGGGCTAGCTAGATAAAACGTAAATAAAATGAAACTTAATATGTTTTTTAAAGGTAATCTGCTGTTGGAAGCCTCTCCCCAACTTACGCATCTCGACATCCAGAACTTCCTGTGGCTTTGCCATGACGCTGAGCATATCGTTAGTTCTCTGCACTCACAAGTTGCACGTGTCTATTGTAAATGTTGAAACAATCTCTGGACGCATTATCGTATAGTATTCACTCGTACTATATACACACACTGTCCGGTGCAGTTTATTGCATTAGCCAAGGCTAAAATTAGTTTGGCAACACGGCACACAACCAAAAAAAAAATAAATAAATCGAAAAAAAATTAACCGAAAAACCAAATGTGGCAAAGCGAGCCAAAAACCGCGCGTCGGGTCACACTATTGGTCATATAAGTGTTACCAAGGCTCAAGAAACTGCACAAACAAACAAACACACACGCAGGCACACACACAAGCACACACACAAGTGCACGTGAAATAGAAATTTGATTTGTTTAGCTGAGCTTTACGCGTTTCAAGCACACAAACTTCTATTTCGTACACATTCAGTGCGATATTACGCGATTTTGTTGATTTGCTATGGATTGTATTCGCTGTTAAATAACCAGCTGCCCGTCTCGTATAGTCGTCTGTTTGCGTTGACGGTTGTGCGGCAAATGCTTTTGGGCGCTTTTTACTTTCCATTTTCTTCAAGCCATTCGGACAATTCGACCGTGTCGTGCCTGGCCTGGCCTGGCCTGGCCGCACCATGCCATGCCATCCCGTACCGTGCCGTGCCGTGCCGTGTTCCTTGGACATGAGCCACAAGTACATATTTTGTATTTTTGGCAACACATTTTGAATTCAATTGCTCCTAAACTGTGCGCGATCATCTCATGGAATTTCAGTGTGCGTTCTCTTCGAAAACGAATGAAAAAGCCCAACAGCACGAAGAGAGCTTCGTGCCAGCGAGTTCCTCAGTGGCTGGAGGTTGAAAGGGTGTAAATGGGTGTGGATGGGTCGCTCTTCTGGTCTAGTCAGCGGATAGAAATTGAACAGCCCGATCAGCCGAGAGCATTCATTGCAGTCTTTGATTGGGTTAAATACAAAGTGAGCACAAATTGAATCGATTAGCGCACACTTCAGATGTGGCTGCTTTAATCGGGTTTACACAGCAATTATGTGTTACCAGAAAAAAACTGATTTTAATTGTCAGCCTTTACATGCCTCATGCCCTCAACGAGCACGTCTTCATGTTTCAAAGCAGCTAAATGCTCTCAATCAATTATTGTGCTCGTCGCATGTAAATATGTGGAAAATGTATCATGCATAAAAAATCTTTAAAGCATGTTCTTTTTAGCGAAATAATTGTATGTGTGTAAAGTGTCTGCGATATTTAATCTGACATTTCGCCAAAAGTGTTGCACAGTAAACCGATTTGAAGAACGGTTCGAAACTGTTCGAATTCGCAATTCCATTTTATTTCTTGTATATTAAGAAACGAAACTTTAAGCAAACCAGTTGCCGAAATAGCCGAAACGAAATCCGAATCGAACCATATTATTTTTGACTCACGTGCTGGTTCAGAACAACGCATAAAAACCTTTGAAATTCATTAATGTTTTAGATATGGCAAAACAGGTTCAAAAACAAAACCTCAAACTTGAAGTAAGTTGGTTTGAACTGTGAATCGAACCTTTGTTATTTTTTCAGAATAAATAACATTTAGTTAATGTGCTTCATATAAAATGTGTGGTTTGAGCCGCGAATCAAACCGTGGAGAATTTTTTTATGAGATTTAAACATAAATAACTTTCAAATTAAAGATGGAGCAAACTATTTTTTTATAAAAAAAAAGCTAAAGTTAGGGTTTTAGTTCGCTCCTTAAACCGAAACCCTGACAATTTAATTTTGATTCGAAGCCCTGTTTTTTTTTGTATACTTCAAGGTTTTCTTAAGTTGTCGCTTCCTTTCTCTATATGATTATGTTGCTTTGAGGCTTATTTTATTATTTACCACTTTACTAAATGCTAGCTAAGCGTTGTAAGGAAAAAGTGATCATTATTTGTGAGCCAGTGTTGATAAATTCTAGCATCATCAAAATTAGAAATTATCTGTAGTACTATATAAATAATCATGCAATAGATACTAGATAATAGAAAGCATATTCTTATGTTAATTCATAGTTGACCATTTGCTCGACAAGTGTTCAAGCGGAGAGTATTGCCAAGTTGTATATTCTGTGTGTATCCAGGAGCGTAGACTTTCTCGTATATAGCATATTTAATTTAAACGATTCATTTTATTATTCCACTCGAAATGCGTACGCATAACCATCAACATTCCCACTTTGACCATTAGCTCGGCATTCACCACTAGCTGAATTTGGTTCGTTTTTCCGCAGCCCCAACCCCCCGCTCTGGATCACCCAACTCAACTCGGAAAATTCCTTGCTCGCATTGTCAAATTCCAATGCGCATATGTGAAACATCTCGTGGATGGGTGGAAGTCTGGGACTGAATCTGCTACGGGCAAAGGCTGTAGCTGTCGAGCTGCCGAGTGCCTGGGGTGGGGTTGTAGGTTAATGCACTGCCAACCAGCAAAGAATTTCCGAAACTAAAAAAAGAGCCCCATGCCCTGCCCCCGACACACACACACACACACAAGAGCAACAACAACTGTAAAAACGAACTGAATTGTTTTGGGTGAGAAGAAAATGCTTTTCGTATATTTTATTATTGCATGCATATCGATTCGAGAGCCAGAGTGGCCCGAACCCAGCCAGTACCCAAGTGTGTTGACATCTATGCCATTATTTATTGTCACTCAGTGCGTAACGAAATCTGAATTGAATTGAATTCTGTGCCCTGACCCTCGAACCCACGGCCCAAGACCCGCGATCCCCCACTCTGTTTTTGACTGTGTGCTGGACATGTGCCATCAGCACGGCGACTTCCTTAAGATTGGTCTGGCAATAATTGTTTCTTGGCCCTATTTTAGGAATTTGAATTTGGCATCAGGACAATAAGCCCACTTTAATTTCAAATCGGGTGTATGTAGTACATTGACTTATATTTATCTCTCGGTATTATTAGCAGCTTGTCAAAACTTTTGACACTCGGCTGCATGTTGCCTGAATGCTGTCACAGGCCGCCAGCTGCCAGTTGCCAGCTGCCAGTTGCCAGTTGCCCGGTGCCAGCTGCCAGCTGCCAGTTGGGCTGTCTTTTTGGCATTCTCTCACATGCTGGTAAAAAGTTGAGTGTCTTGGCAATATAATTTGAGCATAATTTTGCGAGTGCTGCTTCAAGTTTTGCGGCCATTTTCGGCCATGGTCAGAGCCCGAGGCCTGGTCCTTTGGCTTGGCCTAATTAGCTTTGCCGCATTATTAGCTGCCTCCCTGCCCCTCTGCCTGCCCCTCTACCGGCCTCTCTGCCTGCCTGCCTGCATCTGGTCTGTTTCTAATTATTATAATTCACAGAGCTCTCCGGCCGTGGCGATTGGATTTGGGTATTGGGGATTTGTGGCTCTCACCACGTACGTAAATGTCATATGTGTCAGCATTTTAAACACGTTTTTTATTTTTAAGTGGTTTTGTGGCATGTCCAAATAATGTTTAGCAGTAGGGTAGCATTAAGCTGTCGCAGTTTATGGCTTTGGCATATGTTATATATTCATGCTCTAGTTAATTTGTATTAAAGAATTTCCGGAATATCTAACTAGTTCTAAAGATTGTAAATGCCAACTATAAATACCACTGCATACATTTATATATAAATATATATACCATATATCTTTGCATATTACCTAGGTTTCCTGATCTGTGACGATTGACTATAACGCCCTCAACCACTCTAAAGTGATGTATCTCGGTATATATATATATATATATATGTATATATAAGTATAGGTATTTCTGCTATCGGTTTTATGTTATAGTAAAGTACTTTAAAATAAAATTTGATAAAAGGCATAAACTACAGATATACTTAGGTCTGTACTGGCATTGTGGCTCCTCCTATTTAGAGCCTCGCAATACACTTTAGAGAGCATACTTTTTGGCTTTTGTGAAATTTGCATTACTGCAATGACAAAGCTCGCTTATAGGCTATGTACTATAAAAATTACCATATAAACTACTATAAAAACTGCCTTCCAGAAAGCCTACAGAAATAACACTCCTTCAAGCTGAGTCAGAGACTGTTTAAAAAAATAATCTCTTAAGATCTATCTTAAGATCTAAAGATATATGCTAAGATCGATTAAACTTGATTAAACTAATATTTATTTCGATGTGGCTTATTCATGCCAGGGCATGGCATTTGCTTGTATTACGCCCACTTGCTTTCACTCGAGTCAATAACATAAACCCGAAAGACATTTTGGATACGATTTTTTAAATGGTTATGCGAGGCCATCGAATAAAATAAATAAACAAATGCCGACGAAGAAAATAGAAATAAAAATTTTTGCGGATTGCTGGAGGCCAGCTACAACAGCTGGGTACAAATTAATTGAAAGTGTTTTTCTTCGGCGACGTCATACGTTTTATTTGAATACCCTAACTGGGGAGTACTTTAGATCAGGCCTTTCAATATGCCTAGCAGAAGGCTTTATGTGAATCTGTTTCAACTGACCAACTGGCAGACTCACAGACTAATTTATTACCAATCATATGGAATTTCACCCACATATATGGAGAACTGTTGGGAAATAGTTGCATTAAGCTTTGTTGTTTACCATTCGATTAGCTTCAAATCGCACTCTTTTTCAAATCCACTCTTCGGGGGAAAATGGGATGACTAAATTAAAAGTGTCCTGTTATAAACCAAAATAAGCGGAAAGCTTTAAATTTTATTTTTAGGTCGAATTCACTCTCTTTTTATAGAACTACTCAGATGGAGGCAAATAATTTAAAAAAATTTGGAAAAGATTTTTATTATTTCCTAAAGTACTTAATGTTGAATTAAATTTAAAGATGAAAACTTAGTCCAAAAAAGGACGGATAATATTAATGTTTGCTCTACCAAACGCACCTTACGTTTTTTAAGTACCTATGGTATCGTGTGTATGTAGATGTGCACGTAGGCATGTATGTACGCATGTTCGTATGTATGCACTTGTGTTTTTACATATGAATATATGTTTGTGTATATGTAGGTCTGATCTAAGTGATTCTCATGAATTCAAATAAGCCAGTCATGTTTTTATGCCTTGTTTGAAAGTGTTATATTAACACATTGTAAGATTCATCTATTATTCTTGTTTTA